TCTATCTATCTATCTATCTATCTATCTATCTATCATCTATCTATATATTCCTATAAGATGCTAGCTCCAAGAGATGAGAGTATTTCTAAGTGAGGGATCCTTAGTGGTCTTGGAGCTTGGTTGTTAAGATTCGATGGGTCCAAATTTATTTCCTTTTCATCCTTTGTAAATTGCTGGAGATCCAGAATGGTGCACCTTCCAGTGAGTGGATTGAGTCGATAACTGGGGTCTACCTGGTGGCCAAGGGGCGTAGCCCAAAGAGCTTATCTGACTCAATCCAATCAATGAGAGGACAAGGTCAACCCAGTCTGGATACTCCTCCTCCCCTCACTATGGGGAACAACCAAAGCTCAGAGATCACCAAGGACCCCTCCGGATGGTAGCTATCCACCAGCAGACCCTTGCTGGCTGGCAAAGTTGTAGTCTTCAGACTTCTACACGAAGGCGGGAGACAGCATGGATTTGATTTAAATCACATCGATTTAAATCCTGATTTAAATCACTAGTCAAAAGGCATCAACTCGCTTTAAATTGTAATTTTTAAAAAGCAACTGTCGTCTCTGCTGTGAAATGCATCAACGCAGTGCATGTTATCTCAGCTTGCTGAGCTTGGATTCATTGAATGAGTTTACCCCCCCCCCACCCCCAAAAATGTAAATATTGCAGAATATACAGCCTCGTGCTACATAACTAAGCTCCATTTCATGCTGAAATAAACTAAATTATGAATGTATCTTAAATAGAAAACTATTTTAGATAGAGTTTTATTCCAAAAGCATTTATTAAAATAAATTTGATTTTTTTTAAAAAAATCCAATTAAATTAAAAAAAAATCCGATTTAAATTTTAAAAATCCATTTAATTTTTTTTTTATTTAAAAAATCGTCGACTTTTATCCACCCTGTCAGGAAATGCTTGAAAAAGCTTCCCTGTTTGTCCAAAAGGAAAACCAAGTTCAAAAGATACAAGGCCCAAATCCAGCACTCCCGGTTAAAATAGTTTGCTGCAGATAAGACTTGAAAACAAAACTTTTGACTGGCATTTCTTTTGGGCCCCCAAACGGATGTGTGCCCAGCTCAGAGGGAGATGATGAGAACTCCCAATTTATTAGGGGAAGTTTTGCCTGCTTTGAACAAATGCTAAAACCTCCTGTATATTTTATTTATGCCCCTGGGGAGAGCAAACATGCTTTTTCTCTGCCACTCCGTAGGCCTGGAATAAGATTTTTTTTTTAAAAAAAAAAAGCCTAGCGGTTTAATCAGGTATTTAATTTTAACCTTGACAGAGGAAGGGGGAAGGCATGACAATGATAGCCAAAACACAAAGGGATCCCGCTAATATCTGCTGAAATTATCCTTTCATTGACATTGTTGTAAATTGGTATTTCAATTGACTGCCTGACTAAACAATCTTATATAAGGGTGTCGTTATATAATATCTATTTAACCTGTGGAACATTAATTAACATTAGAGCCAAGGTGGCACAGTGGTTACGGTAAATGCAGCACTGCAAGCTACTGCTAGATCAGCAGTTCAGCGGTTCAAATCCCACCGGCTCAGGGTTGACTCAGCCTTCCATCCTTCCGAGGTGGGTAAAATGAGGACCCAGATTGTTGTTGGGGGCAATATGCTGACTCTCTGTAAACCGCTTAGAGAGGGCTGAAAGCCCTATGAAGCGGTATATAAGTCTACTGCTATTGCTATTGCTATTGCTATTGCTATTGCTATTGCTATT